TTTATTTTTTCAGGCTAATCCTCCTAAACAAGTTGCTAGAAGACGGGAACATGTTATACCGCAAGAACAGACCTTCAGAAGCTGCCCACCGGTACAACTATGCCCTGAAGAAGATCAACCCTCTCATAAGCGATGAAGGAGTGACCACGCCATCGACGCAGCCAGTGCCTCACGAACATGTGTCAGCCTTCGTTCAGCTGAAGACAAACCTGCTTCTCAATTTGTCGAGGTGTAAGAGGAAGCTGAATGTGAGTATAAAACAAATAATTCAGCATTCATCAAGCTATTCGACACCGCTTCTATCCACTTACTTAAGAGAAAAGTTAGAATAGGTTAGGGTGCCGCAGGGTAGCACCCACATTGTTTCTAATATTTCAATAATTAATTTATTGTCTTTAAGTAATTATTTAATAAAAAAAAACCGACGTCATGTTCAACCTTATCATTTCTATTCTTACAGGAACCAGCAGAAGCTTTAGACCTGGCAGCTCGCGCTTCAGCCCTTCGCCCTAACGCCTTCGAATGCGCCTACGCTATGGCCCGAGCGATCCTTGCTCTAAACAAGCCCTCGGAAGCCCTACCCCACGCCAGAAGAGCCCTATTACTTGCTCCACAAAACGACATGGCTGCCATAAGGACTCTGAAGGCTTTGCAACAAGAGATTCTAACAAGGATCAACGTTGGCTCTCATAGTCTTAATGGTGACGCGAGGTCCATCCGAAATTTTGATACGATAAGTTTGAATATGCCTTGAAGTTATGCATAATGGTTATTTATTGTATATTTACCCACAATTATGAGTTTATGATAGAGGCTAAACAAAATTTGGGAAGTACGAATTAACATATTCAAATGTAAAGATTTTGAGAAAGTAGTTACGCTGTGCGTGACATTATTTCTGCGGAAACTTTTTTGTAAATGTATGGAATTTTCTTTTACGTCTACATGTTATTAGTTTGCTTATATTTCGAACTTGTATGTTAAACTGTATACGGACTTAGTTACTCTTTATTCCCAGTTAATGTAATAACTTGTTTGTTAAATGATAAAATGACAACTTTTCTTTGTAAATATTTAGTTATTTTTCTTTATAAGTCTTTTAAGGGTTTTTACCTATAGCGTATTATATTCTCGAATAGAGATAACATTATTTTTTGTTTGTATAGATGCTTGCCATTTAATCATTTTAAATGCTTTAATTTTTCATTTTTATTATTTGCAACCTTTTAAATAACGATTTAAATATACCTAAATAAGCAAAAAAAAAATATTAAATCAATTTGGTGCCTTTAAAATACATATTACATTGTAACAGACATAGCACTTTCATCCTTTGTAATTATTAATTTTGTTGTTATTTTTGTTATTAATAAGTTTTTGAGTTAAACTCAGAGCCCATCTTGCTTTATTATAATTTATTTACTAAATAATATTGTACTTTCCTAAATAAGAAAATATAAGTCCTCTATATTATTTTATCATCTGAGAAGTTGTGTATGGATGTATGTATCTATATAAAATATTGAGTGATAGTTTTTAAGAACTTAATAATTATTTATTCCAGTAACGAATAACGAAAAATAAAAACCTAGAACTCACGGAAAGTGTAAAAAATATTGGCCAAATTGAATATAAGAAAGACTGAGAATATGAAAAATGTGTAATCAGAAAACTACTTACGGATAGTCTAAGAAATATTTATGTTACAGGCAAAACCCTTAATCAGTCAATAACGTTATTGACTGGAAAAACTAGTCAATTACGATATTGCCTAAGGGCCTCAGTCAAAACCCTTATTGACTGGATTTATCTATTAAAAGCAGTCAATAACGATATTGACTGACGTGCCCAGTCAAAACCCTTAATAGGTACGTCCGCCCCGGTGGCAGCAACCTAGACTGGCTGGCTGGTCTGAGATCACCATCAGGACCGTTAGATGGTCGCAGCCAGAATGGAAGTCTACTGTCTCGATCGCCGGTTGTTATTCCTGAGGACATGCCCAAGTCACAGACGGCTCTTTACTAACTAATGCTGACATCAGCGGATACGTAGCTTCACCTCCCAGATGTCGTAGACCTCACGACGGTGGTTGTTAGGCTCCCGCCTAGTTCAATCTGCGAGCGAGGCTGTAGGCTTTCTTCTATCTGCGACCATCTAACGGTCCTGATGGTGATCTCAGACCAGCCAGCCAGTCTAGGTTGCTGCCACCGGGTCGGACGTACCTATTAAGGGTTTTGAAAAAAAATCTAACGGTCCTGATGGTTACTATGCAGTAACCACTGCGTTGCGGTGAGTTTATGTGCGATGCGGTGAGTATCACTGGGTTGCGGTGAGTTTATGTCCGTTGCGGCGGATAGCAGTGCTTAGCGGAGAGTTTCGGTGTGCGATGCGGTGGGTATCACTGGGTTGCGGTGAGTTTATGTGCAATGCGGCGGAAAGCAGTGCTTAGCGGAGAGTTTCGATGTGCGATGCGGCGGGTATCACTGGGTTGCGGTGAGTTTATGTGCAATGCGGCGGATAGCAGTGCTTAGCGGAGAGTTTCGATGTGCGATGCGGTGGGTATCACTGGGTTGCGGTGAGTTTATGTGCAATGCGGCGGAAAGCAGTGCTTAGCGGAGAGTTTCGATGTGCGATGCGGCGGGTATCACTGGGTTGCGGTGAGTTTATGTGCAATGCGGCGGATAGCAGTGCTTAGCGGAGAGTTTCGTGTGCGATGCGGCGGGTATCACTGCGGTGAGTTTATGTGCAATGCGGCGGAAAGCAGTGCTTAGCGGAGAGTTTCGATGTGCGATGCGGCGGGTATCACTGGGTTGCGGTGAGTTTATGTGCAATGCGGCGGATAGCAGTGCTTAGCGGAGAGTTTCGGTGTGCGATGCGGCGGGTATCACTGGGTTGCGGTGAGTTTATGTGCAATGCGGCGGAAAGCAGTGCTTAGCGGAGACTTTTGATGTGCGATGCGGCGGGTATCACTGGGTTGCGGTGAGTTTATGTGCAATGCGGCGGAAAGCAGTGCTTAGCGGAGAGTTTCAATGTGCGATGCGGCGGGTAGCACTGAATTGCGGTGAGTTTCAGAGTGCGATGCGGCGGGTATCATTGAGTTGCGGTGAGTTTATGTCCGTTGCGGCGGGTATCACTGAGTTGCGGTGAGTTTATGTCCGTTGCGGCGGGTAGCACTGAATTGCGGTGAGTTTATGTGCTATGCGGCGTATAGCAGTGCGGTGCGGAGAGTTTCGATGTGCGATGCGGCGGGTAGCACTGTATTGCGGTGAGTTTATGTGCTATGCGGCGGAAAGCAGTACGGTGCGGTGAGCTACGGTGCGATGCGGTGGGTAGGAGTGGTTACTGCATAGTAACCGTCAGGATCGATACAATTTTTTTTAAAACAGGGTAGGCTCGCATTTGTCTTCTATCTCACCAGCTGATAAAAGGTGTAATCCCAGTCGGCGACGCGATCCCCGGAGGTGGAATGGGGGTATCAGGTCGTGGGGCGATTGTGCATGCTCACCGAAATGCATCTTATAGAAGATGGAGGCAGTCAGAGTGAAAGTCTACTGTTTCGCTCGCCGATGGCACTGAGCCCGAGTCCTCGAGTAACCACCGGGAGGTCTATGACTTCTGGGAGGTGAGGCCACGTATCTGCTGAGGTCGACATAAGTGAAGAGCCGTCTACGACTTGGGCATGTCCTTATGGAATAACAACCGGCGCGCGAGACAGTAGACTTCCACTCTGGCTGTGACCATCTAACGGTCCTGATGGTGATCTAAGACCAGCCAGGACGTACCTATTAAGAGTTTTGACTGGGCACGTCAGTCAATATCGTTATTGACTGATTTCATTAGATAAAATCAGTCAATAAGGGTTTTGACTAAGTACCTTAGGCAATAACGTTATTGCCTGGTTTTGTCAGTCATTAACGTTATTGACTGGTTAAGGGTTTTGCCTGTAACATTTATAAATAAGTACAATAGTTACTGTGGCAGTACATCGTAAATAAATGTAATTTTTCATATTGCTTCAATTTGGCATTTTTATTTTCCCCTTATTTAATTACCTTTTGGGACACTTATTGTTATTTTATTACGCTAATTTGATTGAAACAGTATTTATATAGTTTTGTCACCAATTTATTCTGATTCAGCTGGGTACAAATAACTTATGCATTGAAAAAATCTCGAATCACAAGTGGAATAGGTACTTATGCTTAAAATTACGGAATGGGCGTTTTTTTAAGAAAGTGAACCACAAGATGGCGCCATAGACTTATATGGAATAAGTGTCAAAATTTGACAGCTAATCCCTCAAAGGCTATGAAGGCGTACAACGCCATTTTGCGGATTATTTTCTCCAAAAAACACCCAATAAAAATGCATTAGGTAATAATCTAGCTACACTCTAAGGTGGGTACTCTTTCATGGTTCTACATCTACAATCATACATAACGTAGAATAAATTCATTCAAAAACTCACGGCATATTTGGTTGGAAAGCACTTCTCAAGATACTATCATACGGACTACGTAAAGTCGAGTTCCTCATCCTCATATAGACTGGTAACAATACCAATGGCTTTTTCGTCGGTTTCAAGCTTGGTTTCAAGTTTATAATTTCCACTTTTGGCGCATCTTTAGAACCTAAAATCCCGAAGTCAAAAGTAGGGTTCTTGTGTGTGATTGGTTCTTCGTGTTTAGCTGCCGACTTTTTAAATAGTGGTGGAGGATTTGGGAAAATATTAGCTAGTTTGGCTTGTATATATTTAGCTTGGTTGATTTGAAATTGGGTAGGGGCTGTGAAGGCGATGTTTGTGAGAATTTGATTGCATTGTAATGTTTTCTTCCTTTTTGACATTGGGCAGGTCTGGAAAATAAAACAAGTTACGTGAGATAAATGAGTTCAACTTAGCTTACAATTTAGCACAGAATGTTAACTACTAATGCACTATAAATATTAGGATTTTTAATGCGCTCACATAAATGCAAATAGGAAGAGGTGAAAAATTCATTAGCGTCGGCCGGGACTTGAACCCGGGACTGTAGGGAACCGTCCCACTGCTCCGCCAACTAAGTTACCGGCGCCTAGGTTCAAGTTCCGGCCTGCATTTATAGTGCAGAATATTATAAGTCAGTATTAAAAGGCTTCTTGAGTACAATTACTATTAAAAAATAGCTACTATTATAATATACCTACAAATCAATACTTATTGCTTTTCAAATACAAGTTGTCCCACAAGTTAACACAGAGTATTTGTAGAGGTTAACTTTAGGTTGGCTTGCAGTAGGTAAGCGGTTGAAAAACTGACGCCAGTGTACATCGGGTCGTTGAACGACTCGTTGTCCCACACGAAGAGAAAGACTTTAGGTTTGTATGGATATGCTTAATCGATTGCAATATGTTTCAACTCTTGCCGAGTAATTGAGTCTATTTTTCTTTTAAGGTCACATAGATATACCAGGCTCCATGCTTAAATGTCGGATACTTTTCACACCTTTGATAAATAAGAAAACATTCTTACCATCAACATAGTATCGAGGACATTCAACAGTTTCTTGGGAGTGCTGCACTGCTGTCCGTACATCGGCATACTAGTAAACGCGTTCAAGTATACCTGTAAATTGAGGTCCTATTAAATCCACTGCAAATATTTTCAGGGTATGCTCTACTCGTGAAACTGGACAACTTTTAAATTTTTCCGAAATAAGAAGAAATATTTTACATCCCATAGTAATTCAAATCGGAGCTGATGTGCAATTTTGTATGGAAGTACCATTTTTTTTTCTAATTTGTGCTATGTGCCTTGGAGAAAGTTGTTCCTTATCACCAGCCAGACCTGCATTTTCGGTATCTAAAATTTCACCCTATATAGGATGCTATTTTATTAGTGGCGGATCCGTTAAGGGTGTATTCTGTTAATGAAACTGAACAACTTTCTCCAAGGAACATAGGTCGAAATACGAAAAAAAATTTTGGTCGTCCCATACTAAGTGTGTTGACCGGCCGTCTAATTTGTATGGGACGGCCAATTTTTTTTTTATATTTCGACCTATGTTCCTTGGGGAAAGTTGTTCGGTTTCATTGACAGAAGATATCCTTAACGGATCCGCCACTAATAAAAATACACCCTATACATATAGTCTAAGACACACACACACTATTATTCTTACCTCTTTAAGGGCCACCCATTCCGAGTGGTTGCTGGTGAATTCCCGAATTTTGTCCTTCATCTTGAAGTAGTCTAGGAAACCGTACTTGTTGAGCACTCCCATCTTCTTGAGCAGGCATTTTGTGGATTCGGTTGAGCCTTGGCACTGTAAAGAGAAAAGATTTTTCTTAAACCTTGTACATACTTTAGACAGCCGATGTGGCGCAGTGGTTAGTATGCCTGCCTGCCACGCAAAGGTTCCGGGTTCAATTCCCGGTGGGGTCACTCACAAAGTTGATATTTATCACTTTGTGAATTTGTTCCCAGTCTGGTTAGGACATTGCAGGCTTAACCACCTGATTGTCCGCAAGTATGATGGTTCCGTGCTTCGGATGGGCACGTTAAGCCGTCGGTCCTGGTTGCTGTCTATGAGGGGTCGTCCACAAATTACGTAACGCAAAAATCACAAATTTCTGACCCCCCCCTCCCCCCACGTAACGGGACCATAACGCTTGGTCCTGACCCCTCCCCCCCTCCCCTTACCGTTACGTAACGCTTAATTTTTAATAATTGTTTATTTTTTGTGATAAAGCAAAGAAATATTTTTCAGAAAATTTGGTACTGGCGACGCCTATTCCTTCTGAGCTACTGCAGTTCAATCATTGTCTGCAAAATTATACAAGTGTTACTCGTATGTATGTTTGTAGGCCAATAACGCGTGGCAATGGATCTATTAACAGGAAGAGTTTTATAACTAATTCCCAGCAATTATTTTTTCGTTCCAGTTTGTGTTATGTAGACAAAAACCTGAATTCTGCTATAAATTGGATTTAAAATTTATTTACGATTGAGCCACAGTAGCTCAGATGGAAGAGGAATCGTCAGTACTACTTTTGATAGTCGTTTGTTCAGATCCTGTATTCGGAAGAAAGGTTTTGCATTCCTGACACTGACACCAGAAGTGTTATTAAAATTTGTTATACATTTATATAATTTGGTCTTATTCAAATCTGAATTAGGTACAAAAATCCAAACAATACTTGAAAAAATCTTTAAAAAAGCGTTACGTAACGCTTGACTCTGAGACCGTAACGCCCGGTCAACCCCTCCCCAAAGCGCGTTACGTAATTTGTGGACGACCCCTGATGGCGGTTGTTACACAACCATGTCAGAGGCCTGCTACTTGCAGTACTGCCGTGCAAATGAAGAGTGCAGTAAGTACAAAATCAGCAAGTCGAGATAATCGCGCCTAAAGTTTTTATTTTTGTTTTGACGTATTTAGGTACTTTTTCTGCATTTGCAAAAACTTTTTTGATATCGATAGGTAGCTTAGTTTGCGAAGTTTAATAAGAGCTTATCCATAACCCTCTAAGTATCATACAACAAGAGTAATACCTTAAAAACAAGTTTTTACTAGCACACCCTTCAGGAGAAATTAAGCCTTTGCCAGCTAGAACTGCAGTAACATTGTAGTTACTGCACTTATTACAGGTAATTGTGAGTTACTGCGGAATGAACTAGTAGTCATATAAGTCAGTTTTATTATCATTACTAATTAAAACCGCAGTACACCCATGATTTACGGTTTCATAAATATGTATTTAATGGCAAAAAGAACAAACATTTGTATTGCTTTTTAGCCAAGATCTCTTCTTCACTAAATTGTCCAACGTATTATTAATGATTTTTGACATTTCGAACAGCCTATAAAAAGTTATGTAAGAATTACTTTTTTCACAAAGAGTTACTGCACTTGTAATTTGAAATTGTGTATTTTTTATATGCTTGAGCACTAAGTAATTTTGCAGTAAAAATTTGATATATTATTGTAAAAAACAGTGTCACAACTTAATTATTAGTATTAAGAATACGAAATCTACCGGATATTGTAAATAAATAAAATATTCAACAATTTTAATAGTAATTTTTTATTTATTCATAATACTTTTACTGAAAAGCTAAAAAAACTGTCATCACATTACAGTCATGCATCGCCCTTACAAAACAGGGCCTGTTGTGGTGACTAGAATGCGTCAAATCTCAATGCCAGACGATTCGTGACGACTCTCTAGAACAGCTTATAGACGTGGCTCAGAAGTGTGATCGGCCTATAGTTTTTATGTAGCGTTTTATCTCCTTTCTTGGAAAACAAAGTGACAACACCCCTGCTTTACGCCCCCGGGGATGTCCCACTAGCTATCACGGAGCTTTCAGCTCTTGAAGGACAGAATTTCTGCTAGCCTTAAGCAGCTCAGAGGGCACTTTTTCCCCGGAAACTTTCCCATTTTATGCTGTCTGAGAGCCGCGATCCACGATCTCGTCTATTTCTACGTACGGGAGACCGTCCGTTAAATGGCGGGAGAGAGGAGCTCTGAGGTGTCTCACGTTAAGTGGAAACTTCGGGGATTGCGAGCCTACAGATTTCCGTAGGAGCCCTCAATTTCTGAGAATCTCAGATTAATGATGTGACAATTTCACCATTTGAGGTAGCTAGCTTTGCCAGGTGACTCTTACCCAGTGTCTTAAAAAAGGCTCAATCCCCAAATTTGTTCCATCTCCTCCTCCTGTAGGTACACTTCAGAGTTCGCATTTCACAATGTCTCGGATCTTTTTGTTGAGTAACTGGGGATCTTGCAATGCATACTCTGTTGTTTCCCGTCTTAGTCGCATCAGTTCCAAAGTCTCGCTTGGAAGTTGGGGCTTCTTTCCGTTCGCCTTTTCCAAAAGTACCACCTTCCTTCCTTCCTCGCGTATTACCCCAATTATGCCATCCAAATCCTCGTCAACGGTTGCCGGGGTTTTCAGAGCAGCGATTAGATTTTTTAATTCGAGTAAGAACTCTTCATGTCCTCTAGCTTGGGGCACATTGGGACGGAAAACTGGCCTTACCATGTTGCTCCTTTCCATTGTGAAATCGATATTTAGGGTGCCTCTTAAAAGAAGGTGATTGCTTCCAGTATTTGAGCCTGTTGATAACTGAGACCTCGAAATATATGCCTTCTATCTGCCATGATGATGTAAATCTCATTCCTTCGTCCTACCCATCAATATATAGCTGTCAGCTAGGCCGCTCAGGCATAGATAATGATTTCTATGGTCCTACTGTTAGGGCTCTTCCAGGTCCATTTCCGTTGGGGCTTTTTCTGAAAAAAGGTGTTCATACAGAACTACCCCTACTTGCTGAGGAAGTTGACCAGCATTTAGCCCCTCTAGTTTCTGATTCCGTAGCCATGTGGTCCTTGATTTGTCGCGCTCCTGTCCCACTTTGGCGTTAGGGTCCCCCATGACAAAGGTGAAGTGGGTCTTCTTGGGTAAGTGGATCGGTTGATGACGTTTGATCGCCATCATCTAGGCAGGCATGTACCATCATCGTCTGCATCGTCACTTACCATCATGTGAGATAGCAGACAAATGCCGGCCTATACCTTAATAAAAAAACTACAACAAAAATACTAAAAACAGACTAAAATAAGAATTAAGAGGGGGTCCCATATAATAAACCTGTTTTTTATGCTAATATGTACGAGTATAGTACGGAATCCTTTACATTCGGCGGTAATTTTTTTCTAAACTTGAAGCCTCTATGTCTGAAAGTAAAGTGTGGCGTCGGCTTAAAATAGCATCATCCCATATCTACACGTGGGTGTCGTTAAAACTGACTAAGGGATGAATCTAGGGAATGGGCAGCAGCGTTCTCTGTGAATACAACACCTTGCTCTGCGATCGCCAACCCACCTGCCAAGCGCACTAGCGATCCCCGTTTAGTTCCGTGACTAGAAAAAACTGCAGTAAAGGAAATTCTTACTGCAATTTTTTTGTACTCTCTAATTTGCATTTTCTTACCTTGTGCTAAATAATAATGCAGTAAGGGATTATACTGCAGGGTCTGCAGGCAGATTTTTGTACGAGTACGCTACGAGCGCGCTAGCTTACAGC